TGGAAATATTACTAACCTGAGATAACTTTGTTTCAGTTGCTGTAAATCAGAGGCTGCTTTAAAGAAAGCCCTTTCTGTTCTTTTTTTGAAAAAAGCTTTCATGGTTGGTAATTCACCAGGGAAGACAATGCGTCTGTTTCTCGCTTTCTAATTATTTGACAACAAATCATTGCACATAAAATAATTGTAACTATAAAGAAATCAACCTCCCTGCCTTTAATGACTTGTCTGTGGATTTTCCAGTAATAACTACATAAAAAAGTGTTAGACAGATGAGATGTATTAGTGGGGAAATCTACAGAAGAAATCTACTAGAATCCAAGTAATTTCAAAGATAATTTGCTTGGAATGCGATATATAAGGTTTGAGCTCAGGAACCCATTTTGTTTTAAACCACGGTTCTGAGTTTCAGAGGTGCCAAACACCCACAGTTTTGGTTGATTTCATTTTGAGTTGTGGGTCCTCGGTCCTTCCCATTATCAAACTTGAAGTTTGTATTAAATCACTTTGACAATGTTAAGTAGTATTGCCACTTCTAAGCATTCCGTAATCAAAGATCAGGCCCTGGTAATCATGGAATTGACTTAAAATCCATGAGGTGTATTTTTTTTTTAAGAAATAAAAAATTGGGGGTTCTTTTAATTTGCTATCTGTTTGATTCTTTAAGGTGTACTTGCATCACGTTTTCAGGCTTTTTTCCACGGCCATAAGAATTAGACCTTTTTTTCTTTTTCTTTTTCTTTTGTAATATGAAAGGAAATTCTCACCAGCTTGGGCTTTAAAAGATATCATGAGAGACACAATAAAATCACAAAAGTTGACAACATTGGTAAGTTTGAACCAATCTCCATTTGGTGATTTCTGATTCTTTTTTGTGCCTTTCAAAACTCACTGCATTTCCAGTCGTTAACAGATATTTTGCTCATCACTAATCTGTGCAGTGAACTAGAATCTTTGAGGATTTCAAGGGCCTTATTTTCCAAAGAGCGCATCACCCAAGATCTTCCATGTAGGCACCTAAACAAGAAACCAGATTTTCAAGAAAATTCAAGTCTTATGTAGGCACCTGAATAAAGCGCTCAGCATTCAGTCACTCCATTGAAGACACTGTAGAGACTGAACACTTTTGAATAGCTGTATCTCTGGTCAGCATTAGGATTCTAGTCTCTTTGTACACTTCAAAGCTGCCATTCATGTCAGTGTCAGCAAGAGTTGAGAACATGGGTGGAGAACAGCAGAGGTCTATAGCACTCTGGCGCTATAGTTAGGGTGCTCTTTAATCCACCTGTTGTTGATGCCACACCTATTTAGAGGTTGTCTTAATTCAGATGTGCATATTTAAAATATTGTAGACCTGCTCCTATTGAATCTGGAAATGTTGTTATTGATTTCAGTGGGAGTGGGATAACGCCCAGAAGGTTATGGTGTGCGGTATGCAACGTGAACACTAAGGAGTAGGGTTTGCTTGCAAATATGTAGACAAGCACCCCACTTAAATTCGGTAACTGTCCATTGACAAGAACGTACAGTAGCTTCCTGTGTGGCTGGATTCAAGGGTGATCAAGACTAGAAGCCCTGCAAAATATAAAAATGTCAATTGTACCAACCTCATGCATTAGAAAAAACATATCAGACCTCCCTGCCCCCAAAATCATCAAATTTTTTAGTTGGCTTTTTTTATTTGTCTTCTAGTTTTGTGCCTTTTGGGTTCACACTGTCTAGCTTTTCCTCAACAACCATTAAGGCTAGAAACTTGCTTTTAAAAAAAAAAAAAAAAAAGCTGCTGTTCTCACATAATCACATGACTCTGGGAGCCGGAGCGTTGAGAGGCCGCTATTGTCAAGCTCCGGATAAAATCACAGGCGCTGGCAACACACGTTCTAATGATCCCTTCTATCAAACTCCCCTCTGGCATGCAAGGTGTTTGCCATCAGCCTGCCTGGTTGTGGCATGTAGCAGGAGAGACACTGCCTTCAGGGATGCGCTGGGAGGATCATGCTGCCTTTCAGCTAGTGAAGTCTGTTCTTCCCATGCTGTTGGGTCCTGCTTGGTCCCTGTAGCCGTCTGAGAGACTTTGACCTACTGTACTCCACTGAGTGTGTGTACTGCTGATGTCTGCTTGTGATGTGGTGTATAAACCCTGCTCCAGTAACAGAGAAATTGAAGAGCTGGGCTGAACATTGGCACGTGGGAAGGGCTTAGGCTGCTTGCTCCCTCCCTACGCATACCCACGCGAGAGCCAGGCACAGTCCGGTTTCCAGTGGTAAAGCAGGGCTCCTTTGTAGGGCAGGCTTTGGTGTGCTCCCGGCGCAGCGTTCAACAAGACAACACGAAGAAGGCAAGCGAGGGGAAAGATTTTGGCTTTAAAATGAGGAAAGGGAAGGGATTAATTATTATTAGCCTCAAGCCAAGATAACCTCTTCTGAGTGAGAGGAGAAAGTGTTTTGTCAATATGATTCACTTGCTAGTGACTCTGAATGAAGCTGCTGAGGGAAGAGCAATGGAGGAAAAAGACTGCAATGCCCAGGGAATTAAAACATCACATTGAGAGAGCGCTGTCTCAGGCAAGAGTGGAAGACAGGATGGGAGTGATGTGTGCCCCTCTCCAGGTGTGTAGGGGAGCTCTGGTCAGGGGGACCATGCCATGCTACATATGGCAGAGCTACAGGAAGAGGTCATCTTTTTCCCTTCCAGCACCTGCAGCAACTTGAGAGGTATTCAAAGCCATGGGAGTGTCCATAGTGCTAGCCCGACTTACCCTGGGAAAATGGACTGGCTTTATAGTCTTGTTCGTTTTTTGTTTGCCCGATTCTCCCTTCTGCTACCTAGACACAAGTGAATAGAGAGAATAAAATGTCCTTGCTAAATTAATGTGCGGTGAGTGCCCATGAGCACAAATAAGGGTTGCCTGAGCTATCCCTTACTAATCAGGCTGAGAGGGGATATACCAAAAGAAACTGTGAATTGTGAAAAGTCACTGAACGATACCCCTGGAGAGTCCTGTTTATCCACAGGGTACTGACACAGAATCACAGAAGTAAGCAGTGGCAAAAGGCTGCTGAATTAGTCCATTTTCTTGCCAATCAAAATTGTTTAAAACTTTTCATTGACAAAAAAAAAAAAAATTTTTGATCAAAACGAAAAATTATTTCAATCGGAAATTTACGTTCTTTGACCAAAAAAAATCAAAGTGAAATAAAAATGTTGGTTTCTTTTTGAAAAAAATGCCCATTGTTTTGGGATCTGGATTTTTTTTTTTAATTTTCCCCTTTCTTTCACTTTTTCATTATTTTCCTGCTCGTCCCCAAAAAAAGAGAGGGGGAAATTAAAAACAAAGTCAAACAAAAGTAATTTCAAGTTTTTCCTCTCGAAGAAAAGAAATAAAGAAAATGAGAGAAAGAGATTTTGAGAATCCACATTTTTACTTTTTTTGCCCTTTTCCACTGCAATGGTGTGTGCAAGTGCAATGTTTTTAAAAAGTTTCTCACTTCTCATTTGAATGAGAAATGAAATGAAAATCTCCATTTCGCATCATTTCAATATTTTAGTTATGGCAAAAAGGAAGAAAATATTTTAAACAAATAGAAATATTCTACGGACATTATTTTTTAAATCCAGCTCTACTGTCGTTCAGCATTTTCCCCTGTGATATCGGTTCTAATATTGTAGCCAGTCTAGTTTTCAGCTGGACATCAGCTGCTTCCCTTTGGAGAGTATTCCACAATCTAAGTCCTCATGTAAACAGAGCTGTCCTGTCTACTTTGAGGGCTCTGTGGCGGCTGACCCAATGGTCCTATGGTTGGGAGGGACCCAAGGGATTACAAGGCCCTGGTACGGGGCAACAGCAGAGCTTGATACCCTCCCCCTGCACTCTCCATGTGGGGGAGCCAGAGTGGCCCGGCAGATTGCTGCACCCTGTCATGCTGCCCTCTTCCAGCTAACTGCACTTGGCTTCTCAAGAGTGCTGAGGCCTCAGGGGGATCTGCTTCCCACCGCCAGGGAGAAACAGGGTGCAGTGAGCCAAGAGGGGGCAGCGCCGCAGGGCGGTGCTCCAGCTCCTGCTGCCCGCATGGCGAGTGGGGTGCAGGTGACCCCTGCTGTTGCCTCCTCACCATGCCCCCGTGCTCTCCTGAGCCATGTTGCTCGTGGGAGGAGGGCAGAGCAGTGATGGGGTTTGTGGAAGGAATGGAGCGGAGGGTGAGGCCTGCATCTGGGGCTGAGGGGTTGCCCCAAGTCCCACGTCTGGGGTGCTATGTGGGTTGCCCCAAGCCTTGCGCCCCCTTGGGACAGCCCTGCATGTACACACACCACTTTGTGCCAGAGCTTGTGTTCTGTGTGTTCCCCTCTGTGACCAGTCCATTCAGACTATGTGCTTGAAATGCAGCTGGTCACAGGAGTCAGTTCTTTAGGTCACGGTGTAGAGACTCCAGCATTGGGCCTAGAGGTGCCAAGTTGAGTCCCAGTTGTGCTTGGCCAAGATGGCAGCCACCACACAGACACGCTTATTTCAGTTGTTTAGAGGCTATTGTTTTGGTTTAGCTTAATTACCATTTAAAAAAAATAAATAAGCCAAAGTTTAAACTAGGGATGTAAAATCCCATTTCATTAACTAACTGGTTAAACTTATTTTTTAACGGTTAAAACTTTAACCGGTTAACTGATTAAAGGTCAGTGAGCAGGGGGCCTCTCCAGCCCCCCTCCCTCCCACCTACCGCTGGGCTGTACCCACGCCCTCCCGCCTGCAGGCAGGGGCTGCTCTGTGCTGGTGCAGCCCCTTCATGGTGCCCCCTTCCGCCCTCCTCTCCCCCACGGGGTTGGAGCAGCCCCTTGCTCGCAGTAGGTGGCAAGCCATTCCAGCCCCATAGCTGAAACCAAGCTAAGGGGGTCTACACACAAACATGCTACAGTTTACTTAATCCGTTTAAAAACACACTTTTAGTCAAACCGTTGCCATTTGCATGAAAAGACAAGGTTGGTTTGTTTGTTTGTTTGTTTTTCAGGAAGCTTTTCCTGATATGGAGCCTAAATTTTCCTTTTCTGAATGTCTCTTAGTACTGGAGGAGCACACTGGTGGAATTGGGCCTAGAATTTTTCTGCCCTCAGGAGCTTTCTTCTTCTTATCTGAAGGCAGCAGGTAATGTGACTGAGATGCTGGTTCAATAAGCATGGATAAGAAAGGGAGCGCGTTCCATTTGCAGGGAGAGAAGCAACACGCTAATGATGCTTCACTCCAGTGATTTTCAATGTATCAAGCAGCCTCCTCTTGGCAGCTCATATCCTGCGCTCTCTTCAGCAGCGTCTGCACACAAAACGCCATTTGTGACGGGGCATGTTAATAAATCCATTCTGTAGTGTACGTACCTTGTGTTCAAAAGGTGCATGGGAAGCGTTATCACCGAGAAAATCCGTTTCTGAATCCCTTGCCGCCTCCTGACCTGTTCCTCCGGGAGCAGCATAGCTCTTCGTGTGCCAGCCACACATCACACCTCCCAATGCTTTCATAGCCCCCAGAAACAAATCCAAGCAGCTGACCCACAACCAATCTTCATCCAGACCCTAAGGCGCAAACATGTAGAATTTCCCCAACTCCAAACTTCCATGCATGTATTTACAGTGTGGCCAGCCTTGGCAGTATTTCATGCTTTCCTTAAAGCCTCCGTTCCTCCAGTAATATGTGTAGCACGAGGAACTCATTTATAAGTCAGTGTCTAGTCCTTACAGAGAAAAGCTTCAGAAAGGAAACAGAGTGTATCTCAACAGCTCAAACACCGGATGACAAATAAAAAGACGCAACATCTATTTTAGAATCTCGAGTTTTACGCCAGACTCATGATTTGGGGGGACCTAGCACATGGTTTTGGGCCCATTGGAGTTGACAAAATCTATTTTAGAATCTCGAGTTTTAAGCCAGACTCATGATTTGGGGGGACCTGGCACATGGTTTTGGGCCCATTGGAGTTGGCAATACTGGGTTTGGGAATTCTCGCCGGCCAATGGGAGCTGCCTGGGCCATGCTTGTGGTGCAGACTGCATGTGGAGGGCCTCCCCAAGGGGCCTGTGGTGCACAGACAGCACATGGCCTCTGCAGCCAGCAGCTTGCAGGGGCATGGCAGCAGGGAGCGTGTCTGAGGGTCCCACTGGACTGCTAGCCAGGAGTTGCCCAAGGTAAGTGTCACCCGTCCATAGCCTGCATCTGGCACCCCACCCCCTCCTGTACCCCAACTCCTTGCCCCCAGGTCAGAAACCAAACCTCCTGCACCTTCTTGGCACCCTGCCCCAGGTCACAAGCCCCTGCCAGACCTTGTACTGCCTCCTCCATGTCCTCCACCCATGGCCCCTATCAGACCCTGCACCCAAATCCCCTGACCCTTGTCACAACCCCCTCCTGCTCTAGGTCACAACCCAAAAGCACCCCCTCCTACACCTCTCCTCCAGGTCAGAATCCTCTCCTGCACCCATACTCCCTCTCAGACCCTGCACCCCAACCCCGCACCTTGAGCTCCCTTCTGCACACAACTTTCTTCAATACCATGGACGAATTCTTGGAGTGGCCCCCATTAAAATTATTGCCCACCCCTGCCTTGGTCTCACTGACATCACCTGAACTATGTGCATGAATAAGAAGTGTAGGAATTGTCTCTCTGATCCTTTGGAAGTCCATCTGAGAGAGGAATTAATTTCTGCTGTCTCCAGGCTTTTAGATTGTGCAGTTGGAGGATTTATTTATTTATTTTGGCTTCTGTTGGGGAAGTTTTTTGTGGTTTTCATTTGAAGTCTGATGATGTGGCCTATATTGGTTTGCTTTGCATCTTTGCTTTTAACCTCTTATGCATTTACCATCTCTAATTTCCATGACGAAGCATGTAGTCTGAGCAGCAATTATCACCTATCAGCTCATCTAACCAATCCACTAGCCACTGCAGGCTTGTTCACGGCAAAACATTTTTCTAGTATTATTTGGCTTTAAAAGCTTGGGAGACTATTCCAAGGCTAAATATATATCTCGGGGAATGTTTCACTGAAATTCAGCCTCATTTTCCATGTTTACATTTCCTCCCATTACTCCTATTATCTTACCTCTCCTTTGACATATTAAAGAAATCTTGCCTCACTTGGGGTGTGATTCTCCACTGTCTTGCATGCACCTTTATCATCATGTACACCTGAGCAAAGTATTGAATCATAATGGTGTTGGGATGCGCCCAAGTGTAAGGGATGACATGACATTCAAGTCAATGGAAAATCAGGCCCTTCATGTTTCCGGTCTCCACGTACATATGTAAACTATTTATATGTCCTCTATAGTCATTGCACAGGCAAGATAGCAATATTTAGCTCTCTCAATGTCGTCTTATGAATCCCTCCAGTCCCACTGGTCATTGCATTGCTCCCTTATGCCAGTCCATGCGGCTGTGTAGATAACTCCGGAGGATGACGTTTTCATCATCTGGCTTCTTGTCAAAAGTCCTCATTGGATTTCGTGCCAGAATATTTGTGGTGGGGGGAGGGATGAAGAAGCATGAGTGTGTGCAGTACAAACCCAAATTGTGCACAGAGCCCTGGACTGAGTCAGCTGAGATGTGTGGCAGCTCTGGCCTACCTGGCAGAAGAGAACAGAGACATGACTCGTCATTTTTGCTTTCTATAGACCTCAGAGGAGGAGGGGATGTGTTACAGGTCCCCGCCTAGGCCTGACCTGTGGCTGTGGAGGAGTCCATCACAGCCAGACTAGAGAGCTTTAGCTCACGTTGCTGCTCACGCATTCACTGCTGTGTTGGCCTCTGGTGCAGTTCCCAGTGTGTTCTCCAATATGGGAGCGACGTTAGCAGAGGAGAAGAGAGCTAGGAAGCAAACATAAGGGCTAACGCAGGCCCAGTCTACACGATTGGCACCCAGGCTTGTGGAAGGCCTGGTGCGGAGCTGCACGACCCTAGAGGGAGCTCCAAGAGGGAATGCAGATGTGTGCTCCGTAATCTCTTTCTGCCCTCTGCTGTGTGAACCGATCCTGCTCAGGTCATCAGTGGAGAACAAACCTGTGACCGGCAGCACTAAAAGCATGAGCCTCTGCCCCTTGAGTTAAAGTATAAAGATGGTTAGCTCGATGCTCAAGTAGATGGTTTAATTTCTGCTATGGACCACCCACTAATGGATGCTCCTACTTTGGGTTGCATTTGCCTCCCCAGGCAGCTCCATGGACTGGTGCAGGGAACGAGGGGAAGCAGGATCTTGTCTTGGCCTCCATCTCCTCTCATTGGGGAAGGTTGGTAAAACAGAGGCTGGTAGGAGGGAGCCGTGCCTGCCCTGCTTTAATGAATGGCATTGTGGGTTGGATGAAAGGGGGATTGTATTGACCAAGCCAGACAGAAGGAAGTTGGAACTAAAATCAATGCTTTCTGAGCTTGCTGACAGACCTGCATTGGGCTAGGACCAGAAGGGCACTTTCTCTGCACACAGCTCAAGTACCTGGGTGTCTCCAACTCCCTGCCTATCTCCTTTCTCTTTTGTGTTGCTTTAAAAGCGACTTTGGCTGTCCATGTTGAGGTTGTTGATAGGGATGTAAAATTTCAATTAGTCGATAAGGGCGCCTCTGCCAATGAAGTGTTGCTACACTTCAGAGGCGAAAGCGCTGTGGCCAGTGGGGGACTCAAGCAGTCCCTCGCTGACCCCGTGCTCCCTGTGGCGTTTCAAAGCGGCAGTGCCACATGGAGCCTGGGGTCTTCAGGGGAGTCCCCAGATGACCCTGGGCACCATGTGGTGCTGCCATTTTGAAATGCTATATGAAGCCCAGGCCAGCTGGGGACTCCCAGCTGGCCCTGAGCTGCATGTGGCATTTCAAAGCAACAGCACTGCGTAGATCCTGGGATCTGGCCCTGGGCTTCATGCGGCACTGCCTCTTTGAAGCATCCCTCCTCTTCCCCCTCCCCTTGCTGCCTCTTTCTGATAGAGGCAGCAAAGGGGGGAGAAGTGACTAGTTAACTAGTATGTGAGCTATCCGACAAGCATTTGCTTATCGGATAGTCAACTAGTCGTTCACATCCCTAGTTGTTGATCCAATTGACTGTTTCAGGCAAAGCAAAGTGGATGGCAGAGATGCCACCTGGAGCATTTGATTGTTTGGGCACTGGTTAATGAGCTGTTCCATAGCGGGAAGGCCATGTCTGCAGTCATACATAACGATTGGGTCTCAGTTCCCATGTACGGAAGAGGTAGGCCTGTCTGCCATGTGAGATGTAGCTGCAGTTCAAAGTAGACCATGCTTTCCATGGGAATGAAAAACCACCAGTCTCTTTGCTTTGATGAGGTGTTTGTTTCGGATGTCTGTCCACCTTTCTTGCCATTAATCTTTGGGGGGAAATCCTGAGTCTTTGAGCTTTGCACTTCCGGGTTGCCAGATGGTTTCAACAAAAATACCGGACCCACTTGACATTCCATCACAATCGACATTACATCTTAATTAGAAAATACCGGACCTTGATATTTTCTCATTTCTATTTTCTCAATTTGTTTCCCAAACAGAAAGCTCAAATACTGGTCTGTCCAGTTCAAAACCAGACACCTGGCAACCCTATGTCTAGCCAAAAAAGGTTGTCTGGTTTTGAGTCTATGCTGTTTAGAGCTTTGTCAGTTGGCAAGTCTTTGTTCCCTTGCATGTATGGGGACTCCTGGGAAGATTCCTGTTGCAACACATTGAGGGTGGGTGGATGTGCGCCAGTACAAGAAATCAGGGATGGGGCCTTGGTTTTACTGTGCCTGAAATTATCCATATGGCACTGTTAAGCCGAGAGCTGGCGAGTGACATGGAGGAGCTATTCCTTGCTGATGTGAGCCTGAGAAAATCAGGGGAGTGAGATGCTAAGGCACAAATTATGCTCCTGAGTCTGAGGGCCAACTGTTGCTGTGGGGTACTGAAGTTGTTGATTTTCTTTAATAACAGTGGTGCTGGCATTCAGTGGATGCTCACTTTTCGCTCCCTCCATTCCAGACCCGCCTGCTCC